GTCCATAGAATGTTGGCAAATGATTCAATTTCTCTTTGGGAAGTAGGAGGTCTCTTTGGCTGGGAGGAAGAATCTGTTTTGTTATCACACTGCATTCTTGAGACTATCCAAAGGTGGCCCTTTAAAACTTGCTGAGAGCCTTGTTCGCCCCCCAGGTCAAATCATCCAAGAGCAGAGGTCAATTGGGGGGGATCGCGGGGGATCGCAGTTCCCCCGGGTGAGATGCAGGGGGCAGGGCACACGACGAAGCCCCGCCCCTTCTTCCGGCCGCCCCCTACTTCCAGCCTCATTCTGTTGCAGAAGGAGGAAGAAGCAGGAGGGTAAGTTGGCATCCTCCCCCTCTGCCTGGCCGAGGCCACTCCCAGCCCCATCCAGGAGCTTCCCCAAGGTAGCTGTGTTAGTTTGTTCATGCAAAATAGTCCAAGAGTTCAAATAGCACCTTTTGGAATAACAAATAGCACCTTTAAGACTAACCTTTAAGACTAAGAGTGAGTGGGGGGTGTGGCCTTATGACACACTTCCAGTGACGTCAGGGGGTGTGGCATATGCTAATGAGTTATGCTAATGAGTTCCCCTAGCTCTTTTTCTACGAGACGACCCCTGTCCAAGAGTAACTCAAGCAGCCCCACGCAACTAGGAGGCTGACAGGGACATTGCAGTGCCCCCCATTATCAAATAGTTCCCTGCACAGCATTCTCAGTATTTATGATGTTTTATGGTGGTTCCTGGCCGCAAAGATATCCGGCTGGTCTTGACCAGCCCTGGCCCCAGCCTGGTGGAACTCTCTGCCAAATGACATCCACGCCCTGCCTGACATTAAACTTTTGCAGGGCACGTAAGGCAAAGATGTTCTGCCAGGCCTTTGGTTGATCTCAAAAGGGGAAAACCTAGCATCACAGAGGTCCCAGATATACATATTCCGCTAGGAGAAACACCATCAGAAATTGCCGAAATATAAAGTGTATTTAACAAATATAAAGTTGGTGGTGTCACCACAACAAAATTGAGTACATACTGGCCCCGGTCACACGAGAGGATTTGGGCCGGGAGAGGGACGGATCGGGGGCGGAGCAAACGGGCGCGATCCCACCACAACATCTGGGAAGCGTTGCGCGCCCGTCCCCGATCCGGCCCTTCCGACGATAACACCGCAGCAAAAAAGAACCACCTACCGAGGTGGCTCTTTCCGAAAGGCCGCATCAAAGCCGGCCGTGGGATCACCGGTGCGTTCTTCCGCCGGCGCATCCCCTGCTCCTGGCCGAACTTCGCATGCTCAGACATGCGCAGTTCGGCAGTCTCCCGTGGCTTTCCCCCCAGTCTCCCAAGCATCTTATCGTGCCTTAGAAGATAAGACGTAAAGTCCATGTAATCAGTTGGACTTGATAAGAGGCGTCCACATAGTCATAACATTTTCCAAACAGCCTTTGCAAAGACGCCCGTTCTAGATACTTAAAAGATGCGTTTCCTTCGACTTCTTCAGTTTGCCGACTGTGTAGGTGGAACCTGATTTCAACAACTGGTTGAGGCCAGCAACGGTTCTTTACATCTACCCAGCACCCCTCCTTCTCCCCCACGACTGAATGCTGGACATACCAGCTTGTTTTTAAAATGTTTTCCAATACTGAAATGCTGAATGTTTTATTATTGATTTTTTTTTTTATGGTTTTAACGGGGTTTTATTGTATCGAATTAGTGTGTTGCAAACTGCCCTGAGCCCCGCACAAGTTGGGAAGGGCGGTCAAGAAATCGGTCGGGGAAGCAGAACTTGCTGGATGTACCAGGTCCCCGAGCTATTAAATGCGTTGTGACCAGGAATAGGGCATTTTCAGTGGCGGCTCCTATCTGGTGGAACGAGCTCCCAGAGGAGATCAGGGCTCTGCGGGACCTAGCACAGTTCCGCAGAGCCTGCAAGACGGAGCTCTTCCGCCAGGCGTTCGAATAGGAGCCGCCACCGCCATGGTACCACCAACGCCATGGCACCATCAACGCACTAGAATCTGGGTACAGGGTAATCTGGAGGTTGAGCACTTGAATGAGATTTCAAGAGATAGCCATCTTGGTTTTTATGCGAGGAGTACTGAATATATTTTTCTATTATTATAACTGGTTTTAAAAATCTTAATGTATGTATTGTTTTATGTTATGTTATGATTTGGTAATATGACTTGTAAGCCGCCCTGAGCCTACGGGGAGGGCGGGATAGAAATACAAATAATAAATAAATAAATCTAATGAAATAAATAATAAATAATAAATAAAATGTGTCTCTGCCCCAAGAGCCTACAGTCTCAAATCTGATACATGGCAGATCAAAAAAAAAGGGAGGGGGGGGGAAGACAGAGGCATTTCAAAAGGAGAAGAATCTGCATTCATTCCAATTATGTGTGTATTTGTTTGGTTTATTGAAAGCTCTTTATGGTCTGAGACCAGCTTACCTGCGGGACCACCAGTTCTATTATGAACTGTGGTCATCTTTGGGGGCCCTGTTGCCGGCACCCCCACCTTCTGAAACCAGGTGCTTCATTGTCTGCCAAGTGATCCAATTGACTCAACTTTAGACTAGAATGTCAGTACCACATCTAGAAAAAGAAGAAGAAGAGATTGGATTTGTACCCCGCCCTTCACTACCCAAAGGTGTCTCAGAGCGGCTTACAAACTCCTTTTCCTTCCCCTCCCCTCCCCACAACAGACACCCTTTGAGGTGGGTGGGGCTGAGAGAGCTCTGACAGAAACTGCTCTTTTTCAAGAACAGCTGTGTCAGAACTATGGCTTGCAAGTGGAGGAGTGGGGAAGCAAACCCGTTTCTCCCAGATTAGAGTCCGCGCACTTAACCACTACACCAAAACAGTTGTTCCGATACTAAAAGGACTGAATAATATATGTCAATTTAATTGCTTCGTGCAAGACAGAACTGTTATTTTTGAAGAAGGGTTACACCGGAACAAACAGAAAATATTGGGAGCCTTCGTCAAAATAATTTGCAGTTCAGCATTAATTGTTTCATTTTTATATGTCTAAGCAAGTCTTTGGACTTTTTTCATTGAGAAGTTTGTACTGTTGCACACCTAGACGTCCAAATACTTACGTGCACAACTGTACTTGAGCTGCATGTTTTGTTTGTACTTAGCATTGTTAAGAAAACTTTGTTGGTCCTTCTTCTTTAAGACAACTGTCTGCTTAAATTACTATAAGTAACTTAAAATAGAAAAAAGTTTATTTGAAAATTATTTAAATATACTGTCTTCCGCAGGGCCTGCAAGACGGAGCTCTTCCGCCAGGCTTTCAAATAGGAGCCGCCGCCACAGTTACCATCAATCCGGAATATCGGACTGGCCCGCTCTGAGCCTCACTGGTGAACATCTGGACCGTGGAACTGATCTTAAGACCTGAAGACAGAAGGAATGCAGATACAAGCCATTCATCTTAAGGTTACTCTGATGTAGCGAGCACTTTATTGTTAAGATTGTTTTTAAGGGATTTTAATATTTTTATTGTTTTATTTGTATCGGCCTGTTGGCTGTCTTCTGTAAGCCGCCCAGAGCCTGTTTACAGGGTGGGCGGGGTATAAATGTAAATATAAATAAATAAAAATATATTTTCTTGATATATGCTGCGCATATTGTCATGGTATTTCCAATGCTCCCTCCAAGCTGTAGAGTCTTGTGAGCAAACATTCTGCTTTGTGAGCGACTGGCATTAAAGTTGTGAGCGAGCGATTTGGCTCCTGCATAAACTTAGCTTGCTCTGGAGCCCTCCTTCCTGAGCTAAGACAAATATCTGTGAGCCAGAGGCTAAAAAACTGTGAGCTGGCTCACACTGGCTCAGCTTAGAGGGAACACTTGCTGTCCCCTTCTGTTGCCATCTTCCACCAGTGGGTGATGACTGCCTAGTCCTGTTTGGTGTTCCCTCCGTGATCCCTCCTTCCTGACTAGTGTTTTAATTGTTGTCTTTAAAAATGTTTTATGTCTTTTAATGTTGGTTTTGTTTTAATGCTTTCTGTTGGCTTTAATGTTATTTTCATATGTAATTTTACGATGTCATGTTTTAGTTTGTCAGCCACCTTGGTGGCCCTTGCGAGGGCAGAAAGGCAGGGGGTGATGGCTCAGTGGTAGAGCCTCTGTGTGGCATGCAGAAGGTCCCAGGTTCAATCCCAGTTAAAGGATCCTATGAGGAAAGGCTGAGGGACTTGGGGATTTATTTATTTATTTATTTATTTATTTATAGTTTTGATTTCTATACCGCCCTTGGCTCCGGAGGGTCTCAGAGCGGTTTACAGAGGATATGTACCAATTATACCTAATCTAGGACCACAATTCATTTTTTGGGGGGGGGTGGGGGCTGCCTACCAGCACCCAGCGGCATGCGTTTCTGTTTGCTGTTGCTTTTTCTCCGGGCGGTTTCTGATGTTAGTTCCGGCGCTTCGGGTGGGCCGACGGGCCGACGGCATCCTCGGCAGGCTTCAGCTGGTATTCTGTTTGGCGCGCAGGGGCTCCGACTGCAGCTCGGCTAACGTCCGTCAGGCTCCGCCGTGCTGCGTCCTTGCGTCATCGCCGCGTCATTACAGCTCCGCCTCCAACCGCCGTCGCCACATCCTCAGCCTGTCTCTGCTGCCGCCATTACTCCGCTGCCGCCACCATTTCTGCTGCCGCCGCACTCCTGGCACACCCCGTCAGGAGGTGGGTGCCCCCTGCCACCTATAGCAGGTACCCATTTGTCTACTCGTGAGACACTTTCGAGCCGCTGGGTGGGCGGGAGCTGGGACTAGGGCCAGGAGCTCACCCCGGCCGCGGTGGTCTCGAACAGCCATAGTGGCTTGTTTGCTAGTGCTGTTACTTGCAGGCATTAGCTGCCTGCGCCACAGCTCCCTGAATGTTCAGTCTGGAGAAGAGGAGGTTGAGGGGGACGGGACATGATGGCTCTCTTGAAGTATTTGAGGGGTTGTCACTTAGAAGAGGGCAGGGGGCTGTTCCTGTTGGCAGCAGAGGAGGGGACTCGCAAGAATGGGTCCAAAATTCAGGGCCGGAAGGTACTGGCTGGATATTAGGAAAAACGTTTTGACAGTCAGAGTTTTAGTAAAGGCACAGGAGCAAGATCAGACATTCTACAGGTCAGAACAAAGCTTGACTCACGGTTAACATTTTAATCCTCCATTCTAAGAATCCAAACATGTATAATGCTTCTCCAGCTTGTTGGAAAAGCGCTGGGAAGTAGATAACGTATCACAGAAGAATTTAAATCAGAGAAAATTATCGGGACATTCTCTAAATACTGGTTATCAATTGTATTTGACTGGGCTATCTGCATTAAACATAATTGAAACTAATGCTGAAATATGGGAATCAAGAGAAAGGAAGGATGGACCCTAGGGGGAAACGGAGAAAAGAAAGGAAAGTTATTCTTTGTTAAATTTGTTTCAGTGAATTTTAAATACCCACACCCTTTACAGAAAGGTCTTCATTGACATATGTGAAGAAATGCATTGTCTCCTGGGAGGTTGGCAAGGAGCCAACCTCTACTTAGCATTTTACCAGTTTCCCCTCTAGGCACAGACTTACCCCAGCCCACCTTCATACAAAGGCTAACAGGTCTAAGACAAAGGAATGGTCAAACTTCCCCATTTCCCCCCTCCTTCAGGCAAGGAGCAGAGAGTTGGGGGTGTCAAATTCTAGAGAGGCTGAGGAAGGAACTTCCTGGACACAACAGGAAAAGATGCCTTGACCTGGCTGACCAGGATCAAGTGGGAAGGGGAAACAGAGGTGATAAGTTCTCCTTGCAACAGGAAATAGCTCTCTTTCTTTGGGATGTTGGGTTGAGGAGAACTCTGGGAAACTGGAAGCAAGCTTCAAGGTAGTGGTAACTCTTTAGAGAACTAAAACAGCTAAGCTAAAGAGTCTGTCCTAGAGTTTACCATCAGCTACGGCTTGTATAGAGAAGGGACAGAAAATGTGCGTTTTCACCAATTTCTTTTCATTTTCCTTGTTCAAATCCGGTGCGGTGCTAGAAGGATGCTTGTATACATTTTTCTTTTTAATAAATACTTTAAACTTTTGATGTTGGGAGTAGTTCTCTATGCCACATAGACCCCTACCATCTCGAACATGCCATCAGAAGAGGGGAGCCAGGGGGCTGGCAAGCAGCTATTCCTCCTTAGGCACCCAAGGCACCCAGTTTGGTGTAGTGCTTAAGTGTGCGGACTAATCTGGGAGAACCGGGTTTGATTCCCCACTCCTCCACTTGCACCTGCTGGATGACCTTGGGCAAGCCATAGTTCTGACAGAGCTGCCCTCTCAAGGGCAGTTCTTGAAAGAGCTCTCTCAGCCCCACCTACCTCACAGGAAATCTGTTGTGGGGAGGGGAAGGGAAAGGAGTTTGTAAGCCGCTCTGAGATTCCGAGTGAAAGACGGGGTATAAATCCAATCTCCTCTTCCTCCTCCTCCTCCTCTGTTTTTGCAGTGGCCAGGTGCTGGGCAGTGGGAGACACAGAGGCAATGTCACGGCAGAGCCAGGGAGCCAGGCAGACAGGGGGAGTCACAATACAAGTCTAAAGGTCAGCCGGGAGAGCAGTTAGCAGAGCATTAAACAAGTTCCAAAACACCAGACAAAGCCGTAGTCAAACGTTACCAGAGGTCAGAGTACAGGGAGCAAAGCCGAGGGCATGGTCAGGTTCAAAGCTGGAAGCCAGGAGCCAGAGCAATCCAAACACAAGACGAGTCAAAAAGCCACAGAGTCAAACAGGAATCAAGGTGCAGAGCTTCTGGTTCTACGAACAAGGTTGCCAGCACAAATTGCTCATGGCCAGAGGCTCTACTAAATAGTGCTCTGGCCCATTAACTCATTAGCACCTTTGTGCGAGGTCCTGGCTGCTGTTAAAACTCAGGGCTCAAGGATCTCCGCCCTCTTGAACGTGCTTCTTTTCGTAGGCTAGCCAGCTCCTGACGTCTCTGATCCCTAAGCCTACTTACAGGTGGGGGAGATGCAGGTGGTGAGCTGCTTATGGCCTGCTCAATCCCAGGTGCAAACCGTCCTGTAGTTGACTCAGATTGCTGTGTATCATCCTCAGTACTTACAGTAGGTGCAGATCCTGATGCTTCTTCAGCTCTTAAAGGCACTGAATCCTCCCCTCTTAGGCTGTCAGGAGCTGGCTCTGGGGCTGAGTCAAGGGCAGGCATGACAGGCAAGGCCTCAGAACTGAGAAGGGGAGCTGGGTGTCCTGATCCTCCCAGTGGGTAAATCCCTACAATGATCGGGGTGGTGGTGGCAGGCTTCCCTGAGAGAGACAGAAAAGCTCCTCCAGGGTGTTGGGAGCCCCTAGGAGGGCAGGGCAGAACAAGGCTGGCAGGCCAGAGCAGGCATGTTCTACCACAACACTGATGGCGCACCTGCTGCTGCTGCTCCTGAGGAACAAGTAAATCAATATTCAGGTTAAGACAACTGCCCTCACCTGGATAGCCCAGGCCAGCCCGATCTTGTCAGATCTTGGACGCTATAGTCACAATTGATTGGCACGGTAATGAGATAATACGGAAAACAAGAAAAACTGTGGAAAAGTGACGCTTTTACAATCATCTTAGCCCATGGCAGGTTCTACATTACACATTACAGCTGGTATGATTATTGAAGATCTTCTTTGATCATTGTGAGACGTCACCAGAGGATACGAACGATTGAGAGACAGTTTTTGTCCCACATCTTTGTTCAGAAGAAGATCTTCCTTCGAAACGGCAAGACATTCCGGAGATCACCGTCAATATATTTTTCTATGATTATGTATATTATTTTTGTTCACTTTACTATGATTCCTTAAAGACATATATTAAGCGTCACTTTTTCACAGTTTTTCCTGTTTTCCGTAAGATCTTGGAAGCTAAGCAGGGTTTACTCTGGCAAGTCCTTGGATGGGAGACCTCCTTGGAATATCAGAAGCAGGAGGCGGGGGCAGGCTTTATTTAGCCACTTCTTTAGATATCCTCCAGGCCCCCACTAGAGGTCAGTCACCAGACGTTGCCATGACTTCCAGGTGCGCGCGCACACATGTTTTTTTAAATTAAAAATACAGATTAAGACAACCAACCCAAATCAGACTCACTGATAGGGTGGCCAGCTCTGAATTGGGAAATACCTGGAGATTTTGGGGGTGGAGCCTGGGGAGGGCAGGGTTTGGGGAGGGGAGGGGAGGGGCCTCAACAGGGTACAGAGAGTCCACCCTACAAAGCTGCCATTTCCCCCCTCCACACTAGGGGAACTGATCTCTGTAGCCTGGAGATCAATCATAACAGTGGGAGATCTCCAGGTGGTACCTGGAGGTTGGCAACCCTACTCACTGAGTCACTTGGGGGGGGGGAGAACCCATCTCAGCCAGGCAGCCATACAAATCATCACACTATGTCAGCAACCAGCCTAACATAATAATGACATAAAAGCAAGCGAAGATGACGACGGCAACGATGATAATAATGGCGATGATGATGATTTTGATTAAACTTATGAATCGCCCAATCCTCACTATTACAGGGCTCTGGATGATATACAACACATAGTAAAAACATTAAAAACCGTAAGGTAAGTAAATAAACAAGACAAGTACATCAATAAGTACATAAATACTATCTGAAGCAGTGAGCAGTGACTCAAGACAACTCATCCCCTGCCACGTATGCTGTTAGTCTCTACATGAGCAGAGGTCCATCGGTGGCTGTTGGACACAAGGTATAGATAGGGACTCTCAGTCTGGGGCAAGGGATGCTCTGTACTCTTGGTGCCTGGGGGGGGGCAACAGTGGGAGGGCTTCTAGTGTCCTGGCCCCACTGGTGGACCTCCTGATGGCCCCTGGTATTTCTGGCCACTGTGTGACAGAGTGTTGGACTGGATGGGCCTTTGGCCTGATCCAACATTGGCGTCTCTTATGTTCTTGGGTGCTACTGGACTCTTGCTCTTTTCTAATAAGAATTAGTATTAGCATTAGTAAAGCTCCCTCCTAGGGGGGGGGAGAGAGGAGCCCCGCCTTTCCTGCGGTGGTCAGAGTCTTCCCCCCCTCTCCGCCTTCACCAGTAGGGCAGCCGCCCTTCCCTGGTGGCCTCCAGCTCCAAGGGGCGACGGTGGGGAAGGACCCCAGACCAGTGTTCCCTCTAAGCTGAGTTAGTGTGAGATAGCTCACAGTTTTTTAGCCTCTGGCTCACACATTTTTGTCTCCGCTCAGGAAGGAGGGCTCCAGAGCAAACTAATTTATGCAGCAGCCAAATCTCCTGCTCACGACATTAATGCCAGTAGCTCACAAAGTAGAATTTTTGCTCACAGGGCTCCACAGCTTAAGAGGGACCATTGCCCCAGACCCCGGTCGTCCCGCCCGCCCCGACCAGGCTGGGCGGCGATCTGCCGGCCGCCGCTAGGTGGCGACGCCGGCCGGCTCAGCCCCTTCCCCGCGGGCCG